TACATCTACACAATCATATTTCAATCTACAATTAATAAAAAAAAAATTAGACATCCAACCCTACAAAAGCACAATCTCCACAATCTGATAATGGTGCTCGAACTTGAGAAGAGAGAACAGAATTGAGTGAAGGAATGTATTATTGGGCCATCAAATTAATTAATTTGTATATGGCTATCTTAACACGTCATTAATTAATTTCCTAGACCTCTGTCGAGAAAAAATTAAAGAAAATCGAAGTGCGATTTATGTAATGGTTGGTTCTTAACGAGTTAGTTGTAGGTTTAAATCCTACCTAAAGAGTAAGGAGATTTGATTCATTTTGAATTAGTGAATTAACAATAAAAGAGCTCACTTTGACCTTTAAAGATTACTAGGAGTGTGTTTGATTTATTTTATTTTCCATGAAAAATACTTTTCAAGTGTATGATTGAAAGTATATCATTACTCTCTCTTTCTCTCTCATCTACTATGAAAAAATATAAAATTTTCTGGATTGAAAACTAAATCAGTCAAACACATTGCACCCTAAAACAATTACTTACAAGTCTTTATCTATTTTGCAAAAGAAAACAAATTCCTACTTGTGCAGACAAATGGAAAAAGGTATAAAACAAAATAATCAGCCCAAAATAAAAGAGCATAATAAATAGGGAAAATTAAGACTTGACATTCCAATTTTTATATAGTCTGGAATTGAATCTCCAACTTTTAAAAGTGAGATTTTAACTTCTCGACCTATTCATCCTTATGCAATTCAGTCCACGGTAGAGAGACGGTTAAAAAGTCAATTTATTTTAAATGACTATTATGCCCTAATGGTAAATTAAATTAAAAATAAAAACCAAAAAAAAAATAAAAATGCCCCGCTCGGAAAAAGCTCGAGCCCGCTCAGCTCGAAGCTCGAGCCGAGCCCCATTTTGAGGTGCTGGGAAAAGTTCGAGTTGGCCCGTCTGGCTTGCCAACTCGGGTTCACGAGTTTATATTTAAAAAAAATAAAATCAAAATCGAGTTTGCTCGGCTTGGTTCGGAAAGGGTCGAACCTAATTTTTTTGGCCCCAAAAAAAAGCTTGATCATTTTACTCAAGTTAAGCCAAGCCCGAGCCTCAAATTTCGGCTCACGAGCCGTCTCGACTCAGCTTGTGTTGACATCCCTACCTAAATCGGCCAAGAAATTGCTCCCATTCAACTCAATTTCCGTAACGGGGTTGGGGTGGATATGGGGTCCTAATGGTGTGAATGAAATTAGGGCAAACGGGATGAAACTGAATTTTTTTTTCTTATTTCTATTTTTGTTTTTTTATTCTTTCAATATTTAGTTCATAATATTCATTTTTAGAGAGATTTGAGTTTTTAATGATCAAAGTAACGTTTTTGTCAAGCGAGGATTCAATCTTACAAAGTTGATTAGGTTGAAGAATCGAATTTGAATTTTAAGTTTGGCAGTCAATTTCAAACTAATGAAAGATTGGGAAGTCGATCCTAATTTTCCCAAATAAATAATCCAACATTGATGTAGCATTCGTTCGTCCTACAAATTATTAGACGGGGAGGAATTGAATTCATTGAAGTCGAATCTAAAGAAGAGAAATGGGATCCCATTACAGATTGTGGTGGACACAATGATAGGGGTGCAAATGGAAAAGTTGAAGACAAAAAAGGTCGGGATCAGAGTAAAGTGTGATGGCATTCGTGGATGGGTGCGAAAGGGCAAAAAAGTGGCACCGTCACTGACCCAAATCCCAAAAAATAAACACATAAATCTCACTCAAATCCAAGAAATCCAAAAAGTTCATTCAACAATGCAGACAGATTTGACGTACGGGGAAAAAATTGAATTTTGAACAAAAAAATGAAGACGATGAGACATAAAAGCCTCATAGTCAATTGCGTTGATCTATATCCAGAAAAAATGGTGGAGATATGAACAGGAGAAAATGGTAACCATGGAGTGGTGATGAATATAAAGCTGGAGGAAAATGGTAATCACAAAACTTGTACTGATTCAGCAACCAACAGCCATTGCCACTGTAGATTCTTTAGGCTGTATCTTCTTCGTCTTACCCTTTTATCTAGAAGGTGATTCTTAATTATTCCCTCTTCTTTATTGATTTAAATAAAATAAATTCTAAAATACTACTTATCAATCACACGTTATAATTAGAGTATTTCCAAAATACTCTTTAAATTTTCGTTTTAATTTAATGTGTAAATTTAACTCACTAAATTTGGATAACGAAACTCACTTTCTATAATTAAATACATTCAAAGTGTTTCCAACTTTCAATGTAGGACATAATAAAATAATATAAAGAAAAACTAATTAAAATAAGAGATAGTAAAAACTAATAAATATTTTTCGGAGAAGTAAGATTAAGTGTTAAATATAAATAATTTGTTGGAGTACTTCAAAAATTTAATTCTCTAAATTTATAGATACTCTCTAAATGATATATGCTCTTTAAAAATATAAAATCTCTTGAAAATGCTCTTACGAATATTAACGCAGATAATTGCGAAGATAATGGGGACATATTTCTTGATATTTGTTGGTTGTGCAGCCTTGGTGGTGAAAGCTAACAAGGATAATGTGGTGACAATATCAAGAATTTCAATAGCACAGGGTCTAGTGGTGATGGTTATGGTCGGATATATATCTTTGTGCTCATTTTGGATTTGAATGAGATTTTTATGTTATTATTTGAGATTTGGGTACGCGATGACGGCGATTCGTTGTGGTGGTCGGCGGTAATTGAATTTTTTTAATTTTTGGTTTTAGTGAAGGGATGGGATAGGGGATGTCGAAGATGAACATTTTATTTATTTAATTATAAAAATATGAATTTATTAATTTATAACCCTTTTATTAAGTTGAGTCAACGTTTTAAAATTTTAGGTTGACTAACTGATAGATGGAATGATTCTATCCATTCTCATTGGAAGGTTTGGGACTGTGTATATAAAAATATAAGGTTGGGTATAGTATGTAGTAAATTAAAGGTTTTGGGACCCTGCTGTAATTTTCCCAAAAATTTACGTGGAAAAGTCAACATCAAAGTGCTTTATCATATTTTAATGCTTATCTGTCATTACATATATAAACATTTTTGTATTTGATATATTTATTTAGCAGGTGGTTAGAGGAAAACCAATATAATTGCACCCCGACAGTTGATAAAATTGTCTGGCCAGGGAACAAATTATGTTAAAGGCATCTTCAAAAGATTCTTTATCTTTAAAGAAATTTATGCATTAAAAAAGAGCATATGCAAATTCAAATACTAAATTTTTTTACTTAATCCAACAAATTCCTCTATTTTACTTATTTTTTCACATGTATTTATTATTTTCCTCATTTTAAATTAATATAAATATACTTTTTAAATATCAATCGCAATTAAATTAAGCCCTTGTTTGGTCTAAATTAAAATGTCAAGTCAAAGTCAATTAACTTTAACCACACGTTTTATAAAATTCATAATTTTTCAATCACACATTTCATCAATTTTAAATCTACAAAAAATTTCATTTTAATCTACAACAAACTTGGGCTAGATATGATTTCAAAAATTCAAGAAACAAGGCATTGCAATTTATTAAATTCAATAATTATTTTGGCCTAGTTTGAGCCACATTTTTTTAAAAAAGAAATATATTCTTAAATAGTGATTTGGCATCATTTCAACCATATATTTTACAATAAAATAATATCATACACCAATTCAAAAGTTTTCATCTTTCTTAACCACATATTTTCCATCAATTTACTATTCCAAAATACATTATTTTAGAATAATGTGGCTCAAACACACACAATGTACACAAAAGGAGTGTGTTTTGCAATCCTCATGGACAATAAAATTTTCAAGCCATTCTTATCAAGGATTAATCTATTTGTACAATCAATATGTATATTTTGGATGACATCTCATTAGGTGTAAAAATCAAGGCCATTGATTTACATAAGTTTTTTGGAGAAACTAATGACAAAATTGATTGTAACATCATGAAATGTCATCTAAGATATCAACCAGAATGTAAGTGCAACAAAACTGTTCTTATCAATTAGTATGTCTGCAAACAAAGTTAAAGACTTAAAAGTCACAATTTTGTTGTTTGATAGCAAGACTGTTAAGACAAAGTCAATTCAAGTTTCTATTAGTTCAAGTTCATGTATGACAATATTCACCACTCATTATTGAGAGGAAGAATTGTAGCTGGGGTTTCTAAACCTTTCAAAATATTGTATATTATACCCAATTTTTTATTTTTGCGGTTGCGATCCCAAACAACTCATCTCTATTACAGTTGGATGACATGTGGACGAAATTCATCCATTTGATTGTCAATTGACCAAAGTTAATGGTCTGACCAAAAGTATTTTTATTTATTTTTATATAATTATTTTAGATGGGATAATTTGGTCACATCTTTGAATTTTGGTCAACTAAGGTCAAATAGATAGATCTCATCCACTTGTCTCCCTGCCGTATTCAAGAAGGGTTTGGGATTCCAACTGGAAAAAATAAAAGATTTGAGTTTAGCCTGTAATAATTTAAAGGAATATTCTAAAAGTACATAATGGATACCATAATGGTGTCCATAATGTCAAGGTGGTGCCCACCTATTGGATGGGGCGCCTGTGGGCTCGACACCTCCTCCAATGGAGAGGCTCCACCTCGAGATTATGGACACCATTATGGTGTCCATTATGTACCCTAAGAATGGTTCTAATTTAAAAGATTTGGGACTCCAACTAAAATTCTCCCTTATTGAAATTATTAATCTTGTACCGATCTGTCATTCGCATTATTTAATTTTTTATTTTTTATTTTTGGCATTTTATATGAGAGGCCAGTAGGTAGTCACTAGCGTGGAAGGAAAATATTCTACGATTTCCATAGTTGGCCCACCATTGAAGAAAGACAAAAATAATTATAAAATAACCTGGCCACCCAAGATAAATGAAACTATTTTAAGACTTTCCATTCATGCGGAATCAATATTCCCATCTTGAAGAAGAGATTAGCTGCAATACACATAGAAGTGATTAATCACTTGAAGAAGAGATGATTGACGGTACGGTGACTTTTATACTAGAAAACCTCAAGGAGTTGATTGCTTCCAATAGTAAGCAGATTTCTGAAGTGAATGATAAAGTGAAATCTCTGAGCAATGATCTCGATTTTTTCAAAGGCTTCATCAAAGATGCCACAGACAACCCGATCAAGTATGAGAACATGAAAGAATTGGAGAAACAAATAAGAGACGCAGTATTCAAAGCAGAAGACATTGTGGATCAATATGTTATTGAGGCAACTCAGTACAAATCTAGTAGTGTGTTTAAGAAAATAAAGCATCCATTGGATCATCCCACAAAGCTTTTAAATTTGGCGCAAGAGATTGAGCCCATGAAGGCGACGGTGAATATGATATATGAGAGGAAGATGTTTGGCGCTGGGGCCAGGCAAGATGGGGAGGGATCTAACACTGGCAAAAAACCCAAGGTAGAATATATACTCATTTACTCTTGTTACTGTGAATTACTAGATTTGCTTTATTGATGACTTGATTCTAAGTCAGCTCAATCTTCATGTTGATTTTTTCAGAATAATCTGATTTTGTACATAGTTAAAGATAAGTTTAGAGAAAATAGCTGTAACAATTTCCAAGTTTCTAAAATGAGCAGTTACATCCTTAAGGTTTCATTTTAGTAATGCTTAAATTCTTAGTGGATCAGCTTCCAATATTAAGGGATTCTACTTCTCTAGTGATTGTAGACGGTTTCTCGAGCCACATTTAATTTAATTTGTGTTTTTCTCATTCTTATTTGTTTTTTGTCCACTGTATTCACTATTAACATTATAAAAAGTTATTTCTTTTTTTAAATTATTAAAATTATGCCACATAAGATGTCACATAGAAAGATTACTATAATCGTTGAATATGACTATTACCATTCATTACAATTTTATTAGCTTTGATTTTTCTTTTGTATTTAGATATATAGCACAATCTTATTTATTTATTATTTTTTGAGGAAATTACTTGAAATATCCTCTTTTACATGTCTATTTGCAAAAATGTCTACTTTCACAAATCCTTACAAAAATGTTCATTTTGAAATATTTTGGACCAAAATACCTCTGTAAATAATTTATGATTCCACACAAAGATAAGAAATGAACATTTTTGCAAAAAATTTATTGGTCAATAAATTTTTAACACATAACCTACCATATTTTTTTTTCAAAAGTGCACATGTCAAATCACAATTGATGCTATTTTTCTCATTGACACAGAAATGTTGAGAATTACATTTTAAGTGTAGAGAAATTTCATGTTCAGAATAAAATGTCATTTTAGATATTTAAAATGTCGTAAAACACTATTTGAAATATTGAAAACATTTAATATTATGATTTGACATGTGTACTTTTTAAATATAAACGAGATCCAAATATCGAGAATGACATTTAAAATGTCGATAACATCATTTTAATGTAACTTTTCATGGAAGCTACTTTTCGAAATCCGTAACAAATTGAAAAAATAAATAAATTGCTTTTTTTTTTTTTTTTTTTTTTTTTTTTTTAAGGGATAGATAGTTTAGTGCTAAATTTTAAAAGTGGATATTTTTCAGTTGACACCCATAAAATTAGACATTTTTGAAAATACCCCTTATTTTTTTTGTGACTATTAATTATAAATAATGTTAAAAACTAAATTATTCACGGAAGACCTAATTACTAAAATATATACTCATTTTAAAGGTTAAAAGGTTACTCATTATGCGTAAACGATCCGGTCAAAATTTGGTCAACCCTAAATGGCTTTTTTGACTGGTTCAGATGAGTTCTCAAGGATAAGTTACCATTTAAAGGTTTAACCACGTTTGAACGTTTTAAACCATGGAACTAATGCTTGACAATGAAGCTTTAAACATTCGTTTATTTATCTTAAAAAACAATAGAACCGTTCAAATTTTAATAATTCAATTAATCAATATACTTTTAGCATCTGATGAGAATTAAAATAAGATTTTTAGTAGATTTTGAAATAAGTTAATGAAATGCGTGGTTAAAAAATTGTGGGATTCACAAAATATGTGGTTGAAATGAATTGTTGACTTTGATTTAAAATTATGATATAGAACATGATATTATTATTGATAAGGCTCATTATTTTTTAACAAAATTTTCATTTAACAATAACCCATTGGTTCTACTATGTGCTCAGGAGTAGAGAGTACTTCTGCTAATATCCAATTAGTTTATAGACATGGATCTGTGTATTTCCTTGCTATTCATCTCGTTTTATTATAGCTTGAGTTTCTAACGTCTATTTCATTTATATATTGGCACATCACTTCCGATATGATTATCATTACCACAACATAGGTACCCATCGTAGAGGAAGACCATGTGGTGGGCTTTGATGACGACGCAAAGTATATTATCAATCTTCTTACTGGAGAATCTGAAGATCTAGAAATTCTATCTATAGTTGGTATGCCGGGTATTGGTAAGACAACACTAGCTAAAATGATATTTTGTGATCCTATAATAGAATTCGAGTTTTACAGACGTGCATGGGTTTATTGTTCTCAAGATTGTAATAGAAAGGAAGTTTTCCTTGCAATTCTGGATCAAATCACCAAAGTCACTGATGAGATGCGTAACATGACCGAAGAAAATTTAGCTCAAAAAATTAGTGGATCTTTGGAGAAAGACAAGTATTTGATTGTTTTGGATGATGTGTGGAAATCATATGATTGGTATAATCTCCGAGTTGCTTTTCCTAAGAACAAAAAGAAAAGTAGAATATTATTGACTAGTCGATACACGTCTCTGGGCAGGATTGCCAACCGCAAATTAAAACCCCATGATTTGCGTTTTCTAGATGTCGATGAGAGTTGGAAGTTACTTCAAAGGAAAGCACTTGGCTTGGAGGAATGCCCACGGGAGTTGATAAAACTTGGAAAGCAAATAGCTGCTGAATGTCATGGACTACCACTCGCGCTAGTGGTGATCGGAGGAATTCTACTAGAAAAAGGTACTGAGAGATATATCTGGGAAGATGTTTCCAAAAATGTGAAGAAATATATGGATGAAATGGATCCTGGGAAGAGAATATACAATTTTATATCTTGGAGTTTTAATCACCTGCCTTATCACCTGAAAGCGTGTTTTATGTACTTTGGGATGCTTCCCGAAGACCATCGTATCTCGGCAAAGAAACTAATTCGCTTGTGGATTGCCGAAGGATTCCTACAACAAAAGGGGGAGATAAAATTGGAGAATATTGCAGAGGACTATCTAGAAGATCTTGTAAACAGGAATTTAGTCATGGTTGAAAAATGGAGGTCAAGTGGCAAAATTAAAACTTGCTATGTTCATGACGTGATACATGAGTTTTGCAAGAAGAAAGCAATTGATGAAAATTTTCATCACGAAATCAAACGGTCCGATTATTTGTCTTCCAACGGAGCCTTCAAAATGTACCGTCGCCTGTCTATTCCGCCTCAATTTCTGAACAATATATCTCTGAAACAGTTTGGTTCACATGTTCGGTCTTTCTTGTGTCTCTCCAATGACGAAATTACCTTGACACTTGCAAAAATTTCTTCCATCCCCAAAACATTTAAATTGCTCAGGGTATTAGATGGTGAGCCCATACGTTTCACTCGTTTTCCTGCTGACCTAGGTCAAGCGGTTCATTTGAGGTACCTTGTTCTCTCCATCCAATTCAAGATCCTTCCTAAATGCATTACCAACCTTTGGAACATGCAAACTCTTATAGTCAAGACGTCATCAAATGTCCTTGAAATCAGAGGAGATATATTGAAAATGGTTCGACTGAGACATCTAGAAACAAATGCATCCACGTCTTTTTCGAAATCTTTCCCTAGAAAAAGAAACAATGAAGAAGGTTATTTGATTAACCTAAGAACACTTTCAATTGTGTCACCTGAAACTTGTGCGGAAGCTGTCTTTGACAGGGCTCCTAACCTAAGTAAGTTGGGTATTCGTGGTCGATTGGCTAAACTCTTTGAGGTCAAGGGTGGATCATGTTTGTTTGACAATGTGAAAAAGTTGAATTCCCTTGAAAATTTGAAGCTATTGAATGATGTGCATGATTCTCAAGGCAAAATAGTTAGCCCTCCAGAAAAATTTCCTCCAAACCTAAAGATGCTAACGCTCAATGGCACTGAGCTTGATTGGAAGTACATGTCTACACTGGGAATGTTAGAAAATCTTGAGATTCTCAAGTTGAAAGAAAATGCATTCAAGGGGGAGTGCTGGGAGCCAAAGAATGGAGGTTTTCCTTCTCTTAAATTCTTGTATATTGGAAGGACAGATTTAGTTAATTGGGTTGCTTCTGATACTCACTTCCCAAGTCTCAAGAGTGTTCATCTTAAACACTGCACGAACCTCAATACAGTCCCAATCGGCCTCTCAAATATTGCAACCCTCCAGACAATGGACTTGTACTGGACCAACGAATCAGCAGCTACTTCTGCCAAGAAAATTCAAAGCAAAAAAAACGAAGTTCCGACAAGAAGAAAAGGCATGGGATTTAAACTTTCCATTTATCCTCCTGATCATGCTAAATGATGATTTCCATTTGTTCAATCTCTGAATTCTACATTCCCAGGTATTAAATTTTCATCTTACTTTATGTTTCGATTAGTCATATTGAAAACATGAACAGCAAATATTTTGTTTGAAGACCTAGTTATTGGATTTATTCATCTCAAATTGTAGCATCACAATGAAGCGATTCACCTCTTTTTCCTAAACAAGTAGTTCGATACAATATACGGAAAAAGGTTGGGGTCTTCACGCTTCTTATTCTTCAAGAAATGAAGTGAATTACAAAAATCCGAAAGATGATTTTTATTACGATGCCAAATTATGATTGTACAAAAGATTTTCGTTATTTATATGATGCCAAAAGGTTGTTCTTTTGAATTTCGTTCTCAAATTTTCATCAGTTTAAAGGTTGGAAATGAATATTTTAGATTGTTCAGATAAACATTCCATGAAACAAACTTCAGAAATATGGGTTACAAGACAAACTCGTAATATTGCAGGCAGAAAATTTAATGAAATGAAATTATATCATTAGTTATAAAATTGCTTTCATATATTCTATGATACAATTTGTGCACACAGATGATTCATCGAACAACAATGCCAAGGATGATGACGAAGTATAGATGCATGGAGTGATGGCAGTCTTATTTCACTTGCTTGAATGAAAGATACTACTGAGTTTCATATTATGTTCAACTTTAGAAAAATTGGATCTGATTTTATTCAAATGTGTTGAACTTTTATCCTTTTATTTATTTATGTGGCGTGCCTAGTAAGAACATTGGATTTGAGTATTTGTTAACTTTTGTATCTTATTACTTTCGTGTTGTTGTCTCTCTAACAAGAACGAAGGATTTGAAATTTCTGCTAACTCGTTTGGTAGAACTTGGAAAACTTAGTAGTCATCTTATTTATTTTTACTCACAAGTAGCACTACTGATGCAAAATATACTTTTTCCTTAAAAGTATTTTCCAAATTTTATAATTTTGCCTATTAGTTTAATTATTTGAACCTCGAGTCTTTACTTTATGAGGTCAATATTCCAACAAATTTAGAAAATATTTATATTTTAAATAGTAACAATGCCAGAGTTTTGCATTTGTGAAAAAATTATTATTTATATGTGAAGTTAAAAATTTGGATGACTAACAGATGATACTACACTAAATTAGTCTTCCTACATTAGCAAAAAGATACAGCACAAAACTTAGAAATTTAAAACCCACAAAAATATTCTAAGAATCGACCGGCTTAGGCCCAAAATGCTCCATTCAAAATTTATTTTTATTTCCCTTTACTATCAATTTAATTATTTGAACCAGCTTTGGGGGGCGGCAAGAAAAGGTTGATGGAATTATGTAAGAAGGGATAAACTATCAAATGAAAATAAAAGGTTGGGGGCTAAAAAGTCCATTGCTAAACATTAATGATGTGTTTGCTATAAGTGTTAAAAGTTAAGATCTAATTGTCCATATTTTTTAAAAAATAGGAAAATTAACAATATGGGCCGCCTTATGGCTGCTGAAATTTCAACAAATCATTCTTACAACTACAAACTACTAAATACACAAACATTCATGTACATACACTAAAATTAGGAATTTTTTTTTTTTCCTTTTCTTCCTCAACCTATGCGAAATATAAGAATCTACCCTCAACTATTATTTAGCACAATCTATTCCCAACATTTTCGATTATGTAGTAAAACTCGTTACTCCCTTCATTTTGACATTGAATGAAGGATTCACAATTCTCTTTAAATAAACAAAAAATAAAAAAACAAAAATAAGGAACAATTGCAAATAGAGTGCAATAATTATTTGAAGTATACAAATGAATTCCATTTAAAATAACTGAGTACGTATTGATAAATATAGAAAAAGTAATTTAAAAAAAATTTCATGTTCCACAACTAATCTCACCCATCCCCTCCAATGGCCAAACACGACCTCCAAGATGGTGATTCTTATTAACCAAAAGTTTCTATTTACTGTAAACAAATGGAAGTACACGTATCAAATATAGGTGAAATAGGTAAATGTTCGAACAATTTTCATAAGCGTACAAGATCGTTGACAAGTAATAATTATGATGAGTTAGAATATTGTTCCACGAGAAATACAATTCAAGTGTACTAGTTTGTATCGAATTCGAAGTATGTAATAAAAAAGATAAGTTTGTTATTTATTCTAAAATATATGGAAAAGTTTGGCTTGTATCAAATTATGGAATGATTTTATTGAATTTAGAGTCATCATATTGTTAATCTATTTCAACTCTTAATTATGTAATCTAATTTTATTCATCCATTCTTGGTAATTGATAATCTTATGATATTTACTTCTCTTTTCCAAGATAAATTAAGCCTATCGTTGACACAATCCGATCATATAACTAGTCCAAATTCAAATGAGTAGAATTTATCTTATTACATGATTTTTTGATGACAACTTATCCAATAATAGATTATTGAGGTGATTGTACATGCGATATTGTTATTCCTAACATCTATTGTCGGTATGTTAAGCTTGTAGCGTTCCAAAGTTAATTGTGAACTTTTCAATACTAAAACAAGAAATTAATTATCTAATTAGCGATCAAGCAATTAAATAATTTAACAGGAATGCAAGATTATTCAAGAAATGTAAAAATTAACTAAACTATTAGTCTTGAAAATAAATAAACAATAAGGCTCATCTTCATCCAATACATATATATATATATATATATATATATATATATATATATATATATATATATCTACCCTAAGATAATTCATATAAATTACAAAAGGAATAATGAATAGATATCACCCAGATCATTAATGAATGCAAGATATCTTGATCTTCAATTTACATATATAGGATTGGCCTTCAATTCCTTGCTTGGTTGAACTTTTCCTCCGGAAGCTATAAATTGACCTTGTCCTTGATGAGTTTTGTGATATTAAGTGGTATTAAGAGGCTAGAGAGAGATCCATTCAATAGCCATCTATGTCTTTCATTTATAGGAGTTGAAAGTAACATCGAAATCTCTTTCAAAGTGGGTTTCAAAAGAGTTTTTATCAAAAAAAGGAAAATAGGCTTGTCAGATGAAATTTTGGCCTGAGTGCACACGCCATATACTTCATTGTCCACGAGTTGTTATTGACTTCAGAGAGTTTGAAAAATGAGGACTCGATTGGTTCGGGTAGAATTTTTGATCTTTTGATTACCTGTAAGGGAATGAGATCGTGAATGAGTAATAAAGTGGTGCATAGAGTGTCGAACCCAATAGGATTATATGTTTGATCAAGTTTAAGCTAACCCTATCCTTAATCAAATAGCAAAATCAATTTGTGACTAAACAATATAAAATCTATCAACTAAATAGAAAGCAATGTAAAGGAAATTTATCAAATTTGTAAGAAATATTGCTAAGATGTAGAATCCCCCTTATTATTCCATTTTTAGTGTAACAATTAAATTGACAATTTGAAATCATTCATGTTGGTCAATGTTCCTAATTTAATTGAAAGCCTCTCTCGATAGCAATCAAATCTATTTTCCTCATGTGATCCTCCCATCTCTTGATGAAAGATGTAAATATGATAAATGCATTAATAAGTGCTAGAACACCTATTGAAACAATATAAAGTATAAAGGTATATCTCTATCCTCTATCAAACCTTACAATGTTTATTATATTGTGCTAAAATCCTATTGTCTCTTTCGATAACAATTCAATTGGTGATCAAATTATTAAAAAGAACGACCAAAACGATAATAAACATCCACAAATAAAATCAAACTAAAGTCAAAATAATTAATTAAAAACTAAAAATATCATAACGAGGGTTTATCTCATCCTAACAATGTATAAAACTAGTCTAACATATTGAAATTACAAAAAATCATATATAAGTGGAAAGACATAACCCAGATTTTTGATAAATTGAGAAGATGAAGATAAATCTTTAAATCCTAAATCTCTTCAATGGTTTCTTAATGAATCTGCACTTATGCTCTCTCTTCTTTGTCCAATACCAAGTTTGAATCTTCACTTGATTGAATTCTTGCAAGCCCCCTTTAATTTTCTCACAAAAACAATAAATTCTCCTCATTTGATGATGATAATTTATGAATATTGGAGTATATTATGTATAAGAGATATGTATGAGAGCCCCCTTCATGTATTCTCCTGTTGGGTTTTTGTAGTGGTCGAAAATTGGTGAAAAATCACGACTAAATTGGTTTCCAGAAGAGTTTCAATCGAATAAGAAAGTTACACTCACGCGTGAATTGTTTGTCTCTGCACAGTATTCAGTATTTTGATTATAACTTTGTCTCCCGATATCTGATTAAGTTGATTCATAATGAGTTGGAAATCTAACTAAAATGGCTACAATTTTCATAGAGATATATATTTTCCAATTCGGACGTTTACTATGCCAAAAATTGGTCTCAATCATTGACTAAAAATCTGAAAGATATATCATGTAATTGAAAGTTGATTTATGGTAATATTCTGATAATATTCCATTCCTTTTTGACTTCCAATTGCATCCAATTGACTCCCATCAATCTTTAAAATAGCTCTTATGGTCCAATTCAAACGCTGGATATTTGCAATTTGGTCCTCAACTTTGTACTTCACCATTTTCACCCTTTTTTGCTTCTTTATTTCAATTTAACTTCCAACCATCGAGTTTTACCTAATAAATAAAATATATAATAAATTAGGCTATAATTGCTTTAAAGAACTATTAAATGTGTATATTTTTAGGTCTTCTACATAAGTGTACAAAAAATACTTATCAAACACCCACAAATTTAAACATTTGTTTGTCCTCAAACAAAACCATAACCTAACTTAATAAACACACAAACATGCAAAATATTTTGGTTGGATAATCTAGCTTTTTACCTTGGGATATGAAATTATAAAATTAAATCTGTGAACAGCTTCTAGGTTGCAATACCAAAATTAATGTCTACTTTACTAAATGCAAAATTGACGTATGTGTGAAGAATTAAGTAATCAATCATGAATACACAAGTTGTTTCAGTTCCCGACCCTCTTGGTCAAATATATCATTTTCATCTCTCGTAAGATTCACATACAAGCAAATTTATTCTTTTTCACTCTTTTCCCAGCATTAATCTAAGGTTGAATTTTTCATTACTATCCTCACTCTCTCCAATTCAGGTGGACGTTACTAGTTGCAAGTCAACAAATCAATGAATAAGGTTTCTTCAATAATTTGATTGCTTCGACCATCAAGACTCAACTAGGAATTATCTTTCATCGAAAGTCAAATTCACTCGAACAAGTGTTAAGACTTAATAAGGCATTTAGTGTATTTATTTTTTATTTTTTCTTGTTTTTTTTTCCTATTGCACTCCCCCTTAAGATTTCTAGATGACTGATATAGCAGACTTTAGACCGATGACTCCCAAATCAAACGACTTTAAGGCACCAGGTTTTTAAACACCCTTTAGGCTTAATAACCTGAGTCATAAAAGTTTCGAAGAGAACAATTTTTTTTTCTTTCAAGGGCAACTTCATCTTTGATTGCTTTCTAAATGACCCCTATAGTGAGTTTTTGGCTGATGACTCCCAAATCAGATGACTTTAGGGCATCAGGTTTTAAGATACCCTTACAGACTTAATTACTCGAGTCATAAAGGCTTTAAAGAGAGGTTTTAAATTTTAAAATATATGCCTTGATTAATGCAATGCCCCTTATCATACACCTATTCAAGAAAACTGACTTCCAACTCAGGACTTTCACCCAATTTTATCCTGTTC